GTTTCAAGTGGTAAGATTATGAGCTTTAATAAGTAAAATTATCCCAGCTACAATGACAGACAACAAATATTACATTTATAGTATTACAACTAAAACCGTTTTTGACGCCGCCACCGCAGTTTGTCCTTCATGAGCCTTCGTAGACAAGATGGGGGTGCAAGATGGCGGCTGCCTGTGTGGGGACCCACGACCATGGAGATAAAAACAGCTTTTTATAAAGGTAAAAATAATAAAAACAAGGTCTTTGTCTGCAATGATTAGACATGTTTTTTTTATTAATGTCATTAGTGATTATCTCAGTTTCGGCTAAAAGAATTGACAAAGTCCTACACACTGTGCCTTTAAGCAACATGCTGCTAAAAGTACACAAAGATTAGCTAGAATTTTAAAGGCTAGCTAAAAGCTATTTGTGGCAAATAAGCTATCTAAAGATACCAAAATATTAGCTATAAGCTAAATGTACCAAAAGGCTGGCTAAAAACTAAATGTAGCAAAACATTAGCTAAAAGCTAAAACTTGGCAAAAGGCTAGCTAAACGCAAAAAGAAGAAAAGTTGATTTAAAAAAGTAGCAGAAGCCTAGCTAGAAGCTAAAAATGGCATAATGTGAGCAAAAAGTATCTCAAAGGTCGTTAGAAACTAAAAGTAGCAAAAATGCGAAAGTTTAAAGTAGGCTAGCAACATGCTGGTTAAAAGTACAAAAAGATTACTTAGAAGTTTAAAGTTGCAAAAACTGGCTAAATTTGCCAAAAAGCCAGCTAAATGTACCAAAAGGTTAGTTCGTAGCAAAACCTAGATACAAGCTAAATGTAGCAAATGGCTAGTTAACATTAGCTAGAGGCTAAAACTGGCAAAAGGCTGGTTAAAAGGAAAAAAGTCTATAGCAAAAGGTAGCAAAAATAATTAGAAGCTAAAAAGTTAGCTAAAAGTTGTAGAACTTTTAAGCATAATGTTTTGAAGAGATCTTAATGCATAGGGAAATATTCCGTTAGCCTAATAGCATAATTGCCTAAGTCATATTTGTCCAAAATGACATGGGCAATTATGCTATTAGGCTAACAATTGAAAAAAAAAAGGTAAATGTCTCAAAAAGTTGAAACAAACAAGTCATAGCAGAAGAAGTCAGATATACATCGTTCATATAAACTTTCCACAGAATCATTCTGGAAAATATCTGAAGTTAAGTTTTTAAGAGCCAACAAACAACAGAAAAACTCTACAGGGTCAGCACTTCTCACCTCTGACTCTGTTGAACTCTCTGCCACATGTCAGATCACTGAACTGAACAACTCAAAGCACAAAAAAACTAAAATATTTTCGAGGTATGTGAGTCTTCATGTTGATGTAAAGACAATAAATCGAGTCTTTCAGACTGCATCACTGAGGAAACGGTTCAGTTGCTGCACAGGCATTTCTGTATATTTCAGATATTTTTAGATATTTTCAAATCCTTTCCGCAGCTGTTAATCACTAAATTGCAGAAGATAAGAGAACAGAAGGCTTAACTCTGTGAAGTTAATTTTCCCATGGCACATCGTCACTCATTTTGTCCCAGTGAAACAAAATGGATGTTTTTGTTTTATTGACTAATCTGGTTTAAAGTGAAAAGCTGCTTTTCTGCTCCTGTGGGAGGGCGCCATGTTTTCTTTAGAAGCAGACATCTCAGACTGGGAATGATGGCTGTGCTGTCAGGGTTATCAGGGCTGTTTGACTGGGTTCAAACTGTTTCAGCTTTTAGAATTGGGATAATGTTGATTCAGCCTTCACTTAAATGTTTACTGTTTTTATTTATCAGTAAAACTATTTTCTGCATTTTATGCTTTTTAGCTATCCTCATATCAAAAACTTCAGCTCAGTTTGGAGATGGGTGCTATGACTTTTGGTTCATGTAACTTTTACGCGTTTTAAAGTATTTATCTTTTTTTCCACAATTTTTAGGCCTGTTTGATTCCATTAAAAAACTGTTCTCTGATATTTGCTTTAGTTACATTTTGTCTTATTAAACTTTAAACTTTTACTGTTCTACTTTTAGATTTTATCTAGCTTTTTCTTATCTTTTACATTTAGCTATCATTCGACTACTTTTACTTTTAGCTAGACAGATGCTACTTGCTAGTTTTAGCTACTGTTATGCTATTTTTAAATTAGATTATTGATATTAGTAGTATGGTATTGATACTTTTAGCTATTGTTCAGTTTTTAGCTTGTAACTAGCCCTTTGCTACTTTTACGTCACATTTTGCTACATTTAATTTAAGCTATTTCTTTGCAAATTTTAGCTAGCTTTTTGATACTTTTAGCTAATGTTCAATTTTTTGGTTTAACTATTGCCTAGTCTTTTATTTTGCCTTTCAACTATTGTTAACTTTTAGCTAGACATATACTAGGCCTACTTCATACTTTTGGCTACTGTTCTGCTGCTTTTATTCTGTTACTTTTAGCTTCTGTTCTGCTGCTGTTATCATTCTGTTACTTTTAGCTGCTGTTCTGCTGCTATCATTCTGTTACTTTTGGCTACTGTTCTGCTGTTTTTAGCTTTTAGTATCTTGCTACCTCTAGCTTGTAGAGAGCATTCTGCTAAATTTACCTAGCTTTTTGCTACTTTTACCTAACCGTTTGTCACTTTTACTATTAAGCTATTACTACCTTTAGCTATTTATTTGATACATTTAACTAATGATGATTATTTAGGTTTTAACTAGCCTTTACCTACTTCTAACTAACCTTTTGCTAATCTTAACTTTAAGCCAGTCTTCTACTACTTTTAGCTAGATTTTTGTTCTTTTAGCTAATATTCAATTTTAGTTTTTACCCAGCCTTTTAACTACCCTTTTCTACTTTTAACTATAATTTGATATTTTTTTAGATTTCTGCTTTTTGCTTTAGCTTTCAGAATTCAGTCTCAGCTTCTTCAGCAAATTTCAGGAGACATTTAGCATTTTCACAAGAAGCACGTTTTCTCTATTTTTTTTCCTCATCTTTCAAACGGTGACATCTAATCCTGGTTCTTCAGAGCCACCATCCTGCATGTTTTACTCATTCCTCTGCTTCAGCACACCTGAGTCAGTTGAACTACCTCTTCAAGTTCTGCAGAAGCCTGTTAATCAACCATTCATTCAGATCAGGTGAGTTGGAGCAGAGAAATCTTTAAAACATGCAGGATAACGACCCTCGAGGAACACGATTGGACACAGCTGCCTTAAAGCCTAAAACTATTTTACCCTTTCTTTTCAAATCTGTCAATAAGCACACATAGTGGATGCAGAAGGAACAAATATTTAGAGACGCTGTCGTGTCGTCGTGGATTCCACTTGAATCCAAGCAAGGCCAAAACGCTCTTCAGGGCTCGATTCTCGACGATGAAGTCCAAAGCTATTAGGAAGATCCAGAAGGCACAGCAGATGCTTGGTGGTGGCTGGAAAATAGTTTTGTCGTGTTTTGTGTA